GTGAGGTTCAGTATGCTTTCTAGTGCAGGAGCTTAGGGGGTTAGGGTTAAGGAATTTCCTCATCTTTAAGGATTAACCTCCTTCCCTCGAGGAACCCATTTTCCTTAAGGAACTCTCTTTCTCTCTTCACCCCTAATAAATCATGAATAAAGGTCAACCAAGTCTGATTGAAAAGGAATTAAAAAGTTTTACTCAGAAGAAGAGGTAGTGTGCCCTCGCCTGCTATGTATGTAGTAGTTGGCAGTCCACGTTGCGTTGTCCATTTTGGAAACAGTGTTACGTGCGGTGATAGACAGTCTCCAAAGGAATTATTGCCCTAGGACCATCCTGACTGCAGCTTGTCCGGACGTGTTCTCATAGACTGTCACAGTCTTCGGCACGGAGCCTGGGTTTTGCCACACTTGTATTGCATACACAGAAGGATCTGTGCATGTAGTAAACCTGAGAGCAGGAGCCAGTGCGCTGCGCTCTGCACACAGTTAATTTAGGAGACTGTACAATAAATAGTTTCACTGGGTCCAGTGGATTTTGTAATAACGAGAGTCGACCGTACGTGTTTTAGACCCTTACAACTTCATGTCACAAAGGTTGTTTCAGAATGAATCTTTATGCTTCTTTCCACCTGTTAAGTCTAACAGGTTGACTATATCAAGACATTATGACAATAGTATAAAGTTTTATTCCTCCAAAAGTCATTCACCCATTTTTCATTCACTTTGTGTCCGTTGGTTTCAAATGATTTAGAACTGTGAATTCCATAAAATGTTACCAAATTTTGACTGTACATGGGACATGTTCCTTGTGTTCACTCAGATTCATTGCATTTGGTTGGCATGAAGTATGGTACATGTACATGTATTTCTAATTGGTATGTTGTAACCCTGCAATGAGGACGTGAACTTGCATTCCAGTGTATATTGAAAGAAATTGGAGCATATCCTCCAGTGTATTAAACAAGTGGTTTAACTTTTATGCAAACACTGTTTATTGTCCTGCTGATAAGAAGCTGTTCAATTTTCATAAATGAAATGGATTGATTTGCCAATTTGTTCTCCTCTTCTAACAATACTTTTTGTGACCCTTTTTCTCCTTGGTGCTTCAGTAGTTTCTCTGCTTCCATGCATTGTTTGTTCTTCCCCCTTCTGCCCGCAATTCCCTTGTGATTCCAGCCTTGCACACGACTTTGCTGAGATTGCTGACTGGCTCTTCCTACCTTTTGTTTTGCCAACCCTTCACCTCACTGATGCCTTGCAAATGACTTTGTATGTGGTACAGTGTATATATTGTTTCCCCTTTATGAACTGGTAGGTACCAGCAAGCGCTAGAACATTTCATTTTACAAAAATATCCAAATTTCAGCGAAGGATTTTTATATTTTGTATTTTGAATGAAAATAACATCTCATGGAAGGACAGACAGCATCACACTTTTGTCTTTTTTCCCACAAGTTCCTTTTTAGAGCAAGGAAGGAATGAATGTTTTCCCTTTATAAAACACATGTATTACTCTCATCATACATACTGATAAGATTACTTTGTCGATTGGTTGGCAAGGGCAAGAGTGATAAATTAACAATACCTTGGGATAATTTTTTTTTCATTGTTATGGATTAAATAGGAAAAGGAAGAGACTTTAAGGAAAGACGAATTTTCACTGTCATTCTTAAGTACCCCCTTAGTTCTGAAGCAGATCTACAGTTCCTTTTCTAAGAAAACAGAAAGATTCGTAGTTGTGAAAGTGCATGATGTGGAATATTTTGACGTGCATTATGTCTCATCCTAATAATGCCAAAACAAAGTGTACATCAGGCAGATACGTAAAAGTCAATCGTTTTGAAGTATTACCAAGGCAAAATTGGATCTCCACGATTTAGTTTGGACACGATCAGGGAAAAATCCACCACTAATATTTTGATTTCCTGTTTTGACTTGCTGTTGGAAGTCTCTGGAATACAGAGAGTGAAGTGTGATTGTTACTTCTTATATGTGCTTTGCTGGTACCCATTGATTGACAGTCTGTTGTTAATGTGCATGAGTGCAGGAGATTCCTGGCATGGATAGAAACAAAAAAGAGCAACATGAGTTGTCTTTCAGTCCAGAACAAAAATAATTTGAACTTGCAACAAATTTGAGGTAGGCATTTTGAAGATGCATTATGTTTGTCATTGCCTGCATGTAAAACTTAAAAGACATGATTTCTTGTAAAATGGAAAAATCTGCCGTGGCTGAAATCTAGCTTTGCTTTGCCAGGGCAGTCTTCTCTCACTCTGCATTAAAGAAGCAGAAAAGCCTTGAGGAAAAGCAGCTCCTTTTACCACCCATCGTGGTCTGAAATTTGAATACCATTCATCCAGACAGTCACCAAAACACAAACCTAATGTAATTTCCAATTCCAAATGTTGGCAAACTACCATAGCTATATAATTTGAAACATGAACATATATCTTTGCTGTTGGCTTTTGTGGTGGCACTGTTGTAGAGAAAGCCCTTTTCAGGATGTATTCTTGTAGATTATTTCCCTGGGAAAGCAAAAGTTCAACAATAGTTCAATCAGAGTGATTGATGACTGATCCAGCTCCTACTGTCTTCTGTATTGTCTTGTGATTTTTCCCCTCCAGAGACCCAATGCCTATCAAGTTGGCAATAGAATAGCCACTATGCTGTTCTATGTAAGTAAACAATGTGCAAGGTATGGGTTGTTGACAGTGTTGTTCCTGACTCCCCCCCCCCAGTGCACAAGAGTTGCCAGATGATTGGGGAAGAGCAAACAAATGCAAAGGTGAATGCAAATGATTGTCAGAGGTCCCAGTGTTGTTCCAAGTTCCATTTTGTCTGGGGGTGTGCCGTGTGCTTGATGCCAATGACAAAAACTTGAGAATGCTTACACTCTGTGTCCGCTAAACGTGTCTGTCTTTACATAAAACGTTTACATGTATGAATGGTACTTAACTTGCAGACCACTATTAACACATTGCTATTTTATTAACACGTTCATCAAATTTTCATTTTTCATTGACTTCCATCATGATGAAATGTTCATAATTTGAATGTACTTTCATTTCACAGCACTCCTTTGAATGTATTTTCATTTCACAGGACTGAAACTGGGAACTGTCCATTTCCAACATTCAGCACCCTATTTCTCATGTTAATCCGATTCGGTTTAATGCTTTTTCATTCTTGCACCTGTCTCCAGTTCAAACATGATTCTTTTGTTGTTTTCTGTTCTGTATACATGTACATGGAGCACACATTGCCCCCAATGCAACATGGTCTTCTTTGCCCTGGGACCTCTTACAGTCGTTCCATCTCTTTCACACCCAGTCCTCAATCTGGCTGCATGATGGCTCAATCTGGATCAAGTATTCCATCATATTCACACTTTATGGTACATGTACCTAAGCATCTGTTCATTCAAATGTGTCATCATTCCATTAAAGATTGTTTCAATCTATGGAAAATTAGAAATTATACAATGTACATGTATTCTTCAACTGCTGGGAGTGTAAATAGCAGAGTCCCTTCCATTGCTGAACAACATAGACACAAAATGAAAATAAATGGGGTCAGGGTTTCAAAACCTATCAAATAATCAGATGTAAATCAGATGGTGCCGTGTGCAGCTGTTGTTAGGGCTGAGGACTGGGTTGATATGTCACAATGATAAACGTAAGTTGTCCACCTTTGCTCTTCCCTATTCTGTTACATTGCTTCCATACAATACTGGCGACTGGATGGCATAATGCAGAAAGAAGAAACCAATGCATTTAAAGACCTGGGTACTGGTAATCGTATTGCCACTATGCTCTTCTATGTAAGTATCTCATTTATGAAGTTTGTGACTTATCGTTACGTTTACCTTACATCTTGGTTGATAATGGAAGACTTCCTTTATAGTGGCACCGGTTTGTACCATGTTTTGGTGGTTCTGTATTATCTATTTAACCCAAAGAGCCTAAGGTTTGGGGGATGCATGGGGAAGATTCCCAGAGAATTCTGCTATCCATGCCTAAACTTTGGGAAACTGTGCATGTGTGATATTGATACTCATAACACATTAAGTACAAAACATGAATTGCCTGCCTGTGTACATTATGCTAGCCAGTGGAAAACGTACACATTTTGGGGGTGACCTGTTATGAGAAAAATGGGCACTTCACGACAACAGTAATGCCTTTTCTCACAAATTGGTGTGATAATAAGCACAACAGGTTCTCACCACTTGAAAAAAAAAGCACTGCGACATTAGGGAAAAATGTTGACTGGCCAACTTTGGGGCTAAAATGCTTTTTCTTACTGACTCAACTTTTCTAAGCAAAATGTGAAAAGTTACATCTATAGGCCTCTTTAGGCAGTTAATGTAATTATACTGTACTTTTGTTTTACACAACAGAGTAGATGACGACAGGTGGCTCAACCATTTGTTGTGTGTATTAATATCTTTCTGATCGAATCACACATTGGACGAAACACGTATGATAACCTGACCCAAGATAATTTCTGTAAGACTTGGATTAGCACAAAAATGGGAAGCACGATTTGGTCTCTTTCTTGCCGTCACAAGGTCACAAAGAGTGCATCTGTACGATGATAGTGAGAGATTTCAGATGTCTCAAAATGATTTAATCCTTCAAAATGGTTTACACAAGGATAGATGGCAAAAAGACTTTGTACAAGAAGTAGTCTAAGATTTTTGAAGTTAAAGTTGTTTTATGGTTTTATAAATGGAAGGATTTTACTGTTACGTGAGCCAAATCCACTGAACCAGACTTAAAGTAGTTTACATACAGAAGCTGAAAAGAACATTTATAATGGATAAAAAATCTGGAATTTTTGCTTAGTGGTTGGAGGAACTCCAAAATCTTGTAATGATGGTAATCTGAATGATTTCTTTGTGGTAGATGAGCGATGTACCAGCAGGAGGTGCTACAGTGTTCCCCATGGTGGGAGCTAGACTTCTTCCTAAAAAGGTACCAAGAAACTTTTCTTTTGGCTTGTCAATCTTGTCAAGTGTGTTTTGGTCAGTGATGTAGGTCTTGAGGCAGGTCTCGATTATGAAGCTGATCCAATACCAACTTTTAGAGATCTCTTTTCCTGTATTTTATTGTCTGGAATCATACAAGTGGGTCTTGGAGCAAGGGACTGAGGAATTTGCAATGTCTTAATCGTCAAGATCTGACCGTACAAGTGAAAAAAAAAAGCCAAAAAAGAAAAATGGTTTACTTTTCAAACTTTCATGGAAAATGTCATTGGACATTGCTTGGCATAGGTTCTGTGTTGATTTTGCTGAGAACATACATGTAACCTGAGTTCTGAAGAACAAAACATCAGATTTAAGCATGTATAAAGTGAATGTAGTCTAGTCCTGTAATCCTGGTAAAATCTTTGGGACGTTATTTTAAAGCACAGCCCTCTGAGCTCCGTACTGCCCTGGTCAATGTTATCTTCAGCTAAAGCACAAATCGCACAATGAGAAACAGTGTGTGTTGGGGGGGGGGTCAGGGCTGGGTTACCAGGGGTGAGATTTCTCAGCCTTCTAGCTCATCTCAGGTTTTTTGTTTTGGATTTCAGCTTTTTTTCCTCACTGACTGTGTACAAAAGTATAGGAGATTTTCACAGTTCAGCTTCTTTATGCCTTTTTTCAGCTGTTTTCAGCCCTTTTTATCATTGGTCAATCTCACCCCTGGTTACCCAACAAGATTTAGCCCATGGGTTGTCTGAATTTCTTCATATGTGCTTGACATACCATGTGGAGGCCCTTTCCTGTCATCATCTTTCGAAAATATACATGCATGATAAGTGCAGTGTACTTACTGCTCGTTGAGTCCTGTGGGGAAAACAATCCACAGGAATACTTGCCCAATCTTGCTTGGTATTCCAACCCACAATCCTTTCATGTTTTACATATGAATAGACCACCAAGAGTGCCCGACTGTTAAAATTAGTTTGACATGAAGGGCACACTAAGATATGTGAAACAAACAATCCTGTTCAATGTATGTGTTTTATTCCCTCATTACGTGGGTATTTTGAAGAAAAATGCAATGATGATCCATCCAAAACCCAAAATAATGGACGTGAATGACTCTCTTTATTAATGATGTGAAGTATGGTACATGTAGTACTGCGCCATGGTTATTGTGTGTGGTTATACTCAATATATCACATGCGTGCTTATATGATGCAGATGAAGAAATTAAATACAGTGGTTATTTCAATACTTATCCATAGTCTAAGGCAAAATGCCACTCTTTCACAAATTTAAATCAGTCATAAGTCCTTCCTCACAAAGTTTCCTGTATTTGAATCCCAGTCAGTTCGTTGTGCATTTGATAGTCCGCATTTAGCCCTTTAGTTTGGTAAAGTATTCTCTCTGTTCGTTGTAATGTCTGTTAATTTCTGACTGAGTGGTCAGGTGGTGTGTGTGCTTCTGACCGCTGGGCAAAATTCTTTTGCATCCACCTGTGCTAGAGGGAATCGTCAGTATGTCTGTCACTTGAACGAATGCGTTGAACCAATCTACAGGATACTTAACATGTAGCAGCTACATGTATTTGTCTCAGCAATTTCCCAGCACTCTGCCAGACTAAACAGACCCGCATGCTTGTATGCTTGTGTGTACCTTCCAGATATGAATGTGCTTTCTTTCAATCTATTGTCCCTGCTGAGAAAATCACACAGTGGATGTCCCAGCTGAAATTAATGGGACATTGGCAATAAGCGTATACCCTCCCTGCACATGTACACATTCTCTCAAGGATCTATGAAGGATGTACATATGATTCAGACTATCCCATGTGCCCCTTCACCTGGTCAACATTGTTATCTTGAGCTTGAGCACAGACTGCACAGTGAGAAACACCATTGAGATGGTGGCAGGGGATGGGGAGATTTAGCCTGGATTGTAATCTTATTTAGGTGGCATTTTGAACTAAGCATTCAACCAGAGCCTATTTTTCCGCTGTGTGATTTTAGTGTTGTGCTACCTTCTCTGTGAAACTGGAATACAAACCCCGTTTTCTAACCTCATTTTACTCTGCAGGGCACAGGTGCCTTCTGGTACAATCTCTTCCCATCTGGTGAGGGTGATTTTGACACAAGACATGCAGCCTGTCCAGTCTTAGTGGGCTCCAAGTGGGGTAAGTGATCAACTGGAATGCTGCCTCACTCTTGGTGCCAGTTTCATGGCACCGCAGACTAAGGAATTCTGCTTAGCATGGAAAAGATTTTGCTTTTTGATAGCAAAAATCGTGAAGGAGCCAGACTGTAAATGTAGTGCATCCTTGTGGCTCCTTAGTTGGTCCTTGCTCAGCTTACAAGTTTGGTGACACCATTGCCTCTCAAGCAACTTTTGAAACGGCAAGAGCAGCCTTGTAGTTGGTGTTGCATAGCCAGTTTTTGTAGTCTGTCCAACCGATAGAATCTCCGTACATCCTTTACAGACATCCGCTTGCAGACCCTTACTGTACACATTCACTGATTAATTATACAACATGGCAAAAAAATAAATCTAGAGTTTGACCAGTCAGCAGGCACATATCGTGGACTTTTGGCCACAGTGTGATGTTAAAAGAAAAGCAGCATACGTGTATCAATCCCTGCCTTGTGCTCACATCCAACCGTACGCCACGCACATGGAGTTGGGCTTTCGTTGGTTCATGCCTGTATTTGTGTGTGTACATGTAATTGCCATCCAAAACTACAAAAACCACCACTGATTTCCCAGGTCGAAAATGCTTTGGTCAGTTGATCTTTTCAGCGAACACCTTTTGACCAATCAACAGCCTTTAGTAGATTTCTGCTCTAAATGACATCAAAACCTACACGTATATCAGTTTCAGATAGGCTCTGATGGACTACAGATGACACTCAGACTACAGCGCATGCCTCTGTCTAGTCTGTTGGCAATATAAAGTGCTTTCTCGCACCAGAACCAAACCTCGGGGGGGGGGGGGCAACATTGTTTTGGAGGGGGCCAAACAATTTGGACAATGTGTAACTTATTAACAAATTATGGCCTTTCTGAGAGATTACATGTAGGTTAAATTTGGGGGGTTTACTTTGAAAAGTAAGGTAAGTAAAAAAGAAAAATATGCTTTCATCTTTTTTTTCGAAAATCTGAAATAATTTATTCCTGTTTGGGGCCCATTCCCCTATCTCTGGTTATGCTAAGGCGTTATTCCCTGATGTGAATGCACTGTGGTTTTAGTTTTTACCAAATTGGAGTTAACCACCATTGTTATTCAGTGAGAGCTTTTGAATAAATCTTTGTTGGCAGTATGACTGTTACAGATCCATGCATATTTTTCCTTGTCTTTGTCAGTGTCCAACATATGGATCCATGAACATGGACAAGAGTTTCGTCGCAAGTGTGGTATAACACCAGATGTCAAGTATTAGGCTGTTGTTACCTGCAAATTCATTGTTTGGCTTTTTAGTTTTGCTTTGCATCATTAATTATACTTTATTTGTAATCTGAAACGGAATTGTGTAACACATAATACTTGATAATTTTACAACTTTAGCCAAAATCTGCCACCCAAATCATGCTGTGTTTGTTTGTTGTAAATCATTGAATGTTTGACCATTTGCTTCAGTTACAAAACTTCCAGCCCTAGTACATTTACTTTCACAAGGTATAAGTAGCATGTTGTTTGTATTGAGTTAGACATTTTGGTAATGTTTATTTTCTGTGGAATTACTTTGGGTATTTAGGCACCTTGTCTTAAGCCAAACATATATGGACTAAGAGCTGATTTGACAAGAGATAGCAATAATTTCAAAGGATGAAGGTCTTGAAATGTCACATTTGGCCAAATGTAGTGATAGTTTTCTTAACTCTCCTTCCTGGTTTATTTCATAAGTTGAAATTGCAGTATTCGTGTTATGTGAGTCAAGTCACAGGACTTGATGTGAATGTGGAGATGTCTTTAGTAGCAAGTCCAGAATGAACCAGAACCTACCCAAATTCACCAAGATTACGGGCATGCAACTTCTTGGATCAGTTGACATGGCTGAAAACCTTTCACACTAATACCACTGAAAAGCCTTGTACATCGTACAAAGTCTTGTAGAGATCGAAATTTCCTCCTTTTTTTGGTTGAAGTCCAAGTTCCAAACCCACTCATGTGGATGCTACACCTGTTCACAGAATGATCCACTTTTACACTGAACGATTCCAATTACACAAAGGCAGTGTTATAGTTACATGTACATACTTTTTGAGTACCTGTACCAAGGTCTCATATAACTAGAGAGGAGGGAACAAAACTGAAGTACATGGGCATTTGATGGTACATGCACAAAGATAAGATTTACGAAGTAACATGACTTCAAATTACCGCGGTATCACTGTTTAATAAAACTTTTGCTTTTAGGACAAAAGTACTTGGCCGAGTACTTTCCAGTCTTCTTAAAAAATATCCTCACCCTGCTAGAGTTTGGGATATCAATGGGGTCAGGACATGTAAAACTTGAACTGAGCAAGCTTTTTTTACGATTCACGTTTCAATGGTCACTGGTCTATGTCAAGTCTTGTCCATGGTTGAGTGTTTATCTTGCTTTTGAAATAGTTTTTGAAAAATCCTGGTGCTGTATACATGTAGATACCATTTTGTGGTTGATTGTAAATAGAATATTTTCCTACCCCTTGTCTGCTTGAGAATGTAAATTTTATCAGACAGTCTTCTCCAAATTGTGCCTACAGAAACATGCATTTATTAGCACTTGCCACAAGAGCATGTTGACAGTTCTAAATGTTGCATAATTGAACCCAAATGCTGTACATGTAGGTGGATTTTAATAAGGGAGTAAACAGGTGCTTGGCTGGTCTTAAACGTTAGTTTAGCCAAAGCTGTAAAACTCTAAAGCTGCAAATGTGTCAAGAAAAGTCCCGTTGTGTACATTCATCCTATTTCGCATGTGCTGCAAGTTACAAGATTCGTCTTCAAGCCATGTTTGCTCATATACAGTATCTTTGACCAGCTGTGTGATCTAGTGGTTAGTTTTACAGCTCATTAATATCCTTCCAATTATTTCAATGGTATACCGGTACATTTTTCCCCAAACTCCATTTGTGCAGGATATTAGACTAAGAGTGTTCAGCTAGCCAAGACTTGCTGAAATGGCAAAAGAGCAGAGATTCCCGGTTTGGTTTGAAATCAACTAATTTATAGGGCATTGCAATGCAATTACCATCAAATGAACCTCTATTTTTGTTTACCTACATGTACATATAGGGTATATTAAATGGTATTTTGCTGTCTTTTTGGTTGTTATGCCATCATTTCATATTCATGAGCCGAACTGTGATGTCCTGGGAAGAAAACCTCATTGTGCATGAAAAACTGCTGGATTTTCAAAAAGAAATATTGCTGGTGTGAAGTGCATTTTCTTTGATGATTCATCATTGGAAAGGTACACAATAAGCCAGTGAGCAAACAATCTCATAAATGTTTGAGGATTCACAGTTTGAATAGAAAGCCCACGCATTGAACAACGTGCATGTTTTCCCTGAATGACATTGACATGATTGAAGCAACACTGCCCTCAGTTGGCCAGGAAAATATTTACAAGTTGAATGTTTAAAAGTGTACTTTTCAATACATCTAACCTTAAAGCAATGTTCAGATAGTTACCATACATTGAAGTTTGTATGTTAGTCATAAGACCTAGACTGAAGGGTCACAATTTCACACTATGTTGGACTCAAAAGGTGAGCATTAAAGTGTTCTGTTTGTCACAAGTTCTTGCCATTTATAGTTTTATACCCATTAAATAAAGGATGATTAGACTTACTGTATAAGCAAAATTTTTTACATTAAAGCTTGTAAAATGTGGAAATAAGCTGTTTGGAAAGGTCAGGAACTAGGTAAATTTTGCAGACTATTTTCTGCTGGAAAGTATCAACTTTATGCAGATTCCTAGAATTGGTGCTGTTACACATGTAGACTTAGATTAAAATACCAAAAGCTTTGTCTGTGTGTCAATGTATGAATTTTCTTGTTTGGATTTCAGTCAGGTTTATGTTTAACATCTGTATGTTTAAAATAATGGTTGAGAATTAAAAATGCATTTATACGAAGGAGAACTGTAGTCATTTTTGTAACATCTGTGGCTGCAGTCAGTAGAGAACAGTGTTGTAGATCTCGAGACCCGTCTAGAGACCGTTTTTGGCGGTCACGATCTCAATATTCAGTGGTCTCAGTCTTGATCTCGGTCTCGGATATTGGAGGTCTCGATATTTTCCCTGGTGGCAAGTCAAGATTACTCAAAGAGATTGACACCACATTATGCACGACCTAATTCACAGATTTGTATGTACATGTACTTCATGTTTTCAACCTCGCACCTGTGCATCATGACTATTATCATTGTAATAAGCACTGGGGGCGAGTGTGAATATTGTGGCACATACTACCTGATGCATAGTACATGTCAACTGATGCATGCACGTGGTGTGTGCTGGGGCTGGCTTCGCACGTGACTAACAGTTTTTCAACTCCATGTGCATTGTGAATTGGAAGGTTGAACTTTGCACTAACCTAGCACTCTGCACTCTTTCAAGATGTCAAGCAATTCAGCTGTGATCAACTTCGGTTTCAGAAACCATGAAGAGTACAGGTATCTCGATGCGAAAGTGGTGTAAGCAGTCAGTTTCCACTGAATGGCTATATTTAACAACTTTGTTTTGTTTTCGGATGATCTAGGGAAGGCGTTGAAGCCTGCTAGAATTAAATCATTTGTGCTAATAACACTGTTATCCAGGAGCTCGCAAAGTGCATGTACGCCTTAATAAGGAATGACTAAAGCATTCATTGTTACAGTTGTCTTTCTGTCCCCATATTTCTTTGACGATTAATCCTTCTGTTGTGCCGCTTTGTTAGCACAAACATGTACATGTACAAAGAGCAAGACAAGCATTTAAATGCTCCCTAATTTAACTGGACATAGTAACCAGTGAGCTGTTATACAGGTATTCATTTTTCGGTTCTGCATTTATTTGATTGAATTATGCAATTTAAACACAAGGTCTTGAGGTCTCAGTCACCGATGGTCAGGTTTCGGTCTTGGTCTCGAACCTAAAGGTCTCAGTCCTGGTCTCGGTCTCCCAGGTTTTGACTATAACACTGGTAAAGAAGGGACATTATTTTCCAGATTCAGAACCACTAAGCAAAAAAAATACATGAATCAGTTATCTACCAATTTCATGGCTTAACTTCTGATTTCTTTTGATCAACATGCACGTAATGTCTTGATCCCAAACTCAAAGCCACTCTCAATGCTGATAATGCAACCTGTGTATTTATTGCTTCAGTTCCCAGCAGTTTTAACCGCCATCGCATGCATCCTTGATAAATTAAAGAGTTGCTAAAAATCGGGACTACAGAAGATTCAAGATAATTTACATGAACTGAAATTAATTGTACGAAAATTTACATCAACTTTATCCCATTCCCCAAAGTTAGCAGTGATTCCAACTCTAAAAAGCACCTGACCCGAACATGTCTCTCTCTCAGAATGAAAGAATAAAACAACACCCTCAAAAGTCTTTTGAACTGGCCAAAACAAAATCATCTCCTCCCCAAGAAAGAATGTTGCCATCAGATGGCAACTGGGCCCAATTTCAAAGTAATTGCTTGAGAAGTAAATATACAAGCCAACAACGTAGAGCCAATTACAAACACCCACTGTTGGTATACTGCTTAGCCAAGCAAAATTCAATGTTCACCGTTCACAGTGAACATGATCCTTGGCTTGCAACAAATAACTATAGAAATACTTCTGAGGGGAAAAAAGACCGCCGCTGACTTTGATTCTGGATCAATGAAAGAATAAAATGGTGTAAGACGGGTTTCTAAAGGCCACTGGTCATTTTTCAGATTCTGAAAATTTGGAACTTATTTTCAATGTCAACATGTCCACAATAGGGCTTTCTGTAGTGTGAAGAGGCATCTCGTAACAGATGTGAGCTTTGTGACAGCTCGTGGAATTTGATTTCAAATGCAACCTTTGTGGAGTCAAGTGGTGATCGTAACAGATGGATCACGATTCTTCTATACGCATGTGAATCATGGACCTTACAGCAGTGTTGCAAAGGAAAATCCAAACTGCTGAAATGTTAGACGACTTTAGGCATCTCGCACAGAGACCACATTACAAATAATGAGGTACGTACATGTAGAAGAATCCGCCAACATCTGCCCCATCAAGAAGACCTACTGTCAACCATCGAGGGGAGAAAGCTGACAACAAGTGGAAGTGGCCTCTCAAAGACCATTCTCCAAGGAACAGTTGTGGGGAAAAGGAAACGGGGATGACAGGGACAGAGATGGACCCACAACATTACTGAATGGATGGGATTGTCATTGGTTCAAACCCAGGTGCTTGTGCACAACCGTGAGAGATGGAGGGCTTTGGTAGGACGTGTTGACAGGCAGTGCCCCTCAACCCTCGAGGGTTACGGGATCAGTAACATAAAGGATGATTTTGCCCTTGAATGATAAGTACAGTACATTTATAGTTCTCCACACCCTGTGCAAAGCTTAAATTTCACCACAAAAAGTATTTACACTGTACACTGAAGTGACTGCACATGAATAAACAAGTAAGATACCAGAGTTTGAAGGATGTAGTAAAAATAACCAAGCAAATAATCAACTGGCCAAGTTGAATTAATATTATGCCCCACAGGCATATACTGAAATTTAGGCCTATCCCTTCCATCTCCCCCCCCCCCCGGCACTGCAGGCACTTAAATGGACATTCCTGGATCCTTATCATCCCTAATGTGCAGATTAGGAAACCAATGGCAATATTTCTGCACTTTTAAGGGGCCTCACATCCATCCAACGTAACTGAGGCTGGCCTCAACCTGTCTCAATTTGGCAAAATCCTCCCAACCCTCTCAAGTGGTGGATTTTGAAGGATCTAGAGAGGTTAGTGTGATACTGCTTCTTGTTGGCTATCATCAACTGTCAATCTTGATAAAGACCTTTGACCTTGAGAAAATCTTGATTGCTTCTTCTACCTCAGCCAGTTGAGAGTTGACCTCAGCCTCTCTTGTCTTGGCTCGAAGTGTTTCTGCTTTCAGTGGTAGCTTGTGCAGCTCCTGCTGGAGCTCTTTCTCCTCTAAAAACAGGGAAGGAATGAAAGCGATAAACAGGGGTGGGGATTTCACATTGTAGCTGATATAATAATGACTACTTAAGAAGGAGACAGCAATAATTTGAAATTTGTTTTTAAAGTGACCAAAAAAAAGATAAAAGTAGCTGTTAAAAACCTGAAAATATCTATGTCACACTCCATTAGTAGCTGTGGTAATGAAACATCTTAAATGACGTGACAAACACAAAATTCCTGAGAAACCTCAAGCACTTAAGTTTGTGGTGCACATGTAACCCAAGAGAACACCTGCCCAATTTACTCATTAAGCAATTTGTTTTTGCTTGGCAACTTTCACTCAAAATTAAAGTAGCTGATAAGAAAGCATTCAGTAGGAGAATGCACTATAAATTCCTTTAGAAGAGATAAACATAATCACCGCGGTGGATGACAAATACAGTAAAAAGATAATCGATGACTCGCGGTGTCGTGTTGCTGGTAGCGACGTTTCGGCTGCTAGTGCTGCTAGCCTTCATCAGGTTGCCTGCTGAAGGCTAGCAGCACTAGCAGCCGAAACGTCGCTACCAGCAACACGACACCGCGAGTCATCGATTATCTTTTTACAGTATAAATTCCTTTTATAGCTACATGTGCATGTACGTACAGGTGGTGCAACTGACTGACCTGGTTCATTAGATCTACATTTCTTAAATCCCACTTTATAGTGTGGTTGAATTTACATGTGTAGCTCCAGCTGAGTGTAGAGAGAGTATACAACTTACTTTGTCTGAGTACCTCTAGCGTCTTAAGACGTTCCTCTTGCGGCATCATCTTGTGACCTGGGGGCATGTCAGGGTCAGGAATACTACGTAATCTCTCCTCCTCTTCCTTAGCCCACTGTTGTTGCCGACCCTTCAAGCTGGGTACAAGGAAGTGAAAAACACACCAGCTCATTTCTCTGTTATTCTCATGTTTAAGTGTGGAGAATAAATGCCAGGTAAGGGATGGATTGGACACAAATCTGCTGTGATGAGCGAGTTTATTGTTGTCCCACAGATTCCTCAATCAAAAGAAAACCCCGTACACCGAGGACTTATAGGCCCACAAAAAGTGGTCCGCAAGCCGGAAACGCAATGGGAAAAGGGTGCAAATTCTCCAAAACTTCCCAGCAGAAGCAGCCCGCCTCCACACAAGGCACCCGCAGCGGAGACAGAGATTGAGTCACTGCGACTTCGGGCCCAGCAAGAAAGTGGGTGGAGTTGGCATATCCATGCGCCGGATAAACGATAAGTACATGTGATTGTACAGTACCCCAACTGGCACAAAAGCTATTGAAAAACTGTCATAATGACTACAAAAGAATGTTGGAAGGTATTCCAGTTAAAAATATGAACTATTACGAAAAGGGACCAGGAACTATTTCCAGTACACGTGCTGGGACATAATAAAGTTTAACGTAAATCAACACCCCGTTGCCTAGCAACAACATAAGCAAACCTGTGTACTGTGTGTGCTGTTTCCACGAAGAGAAAAAAAGTCACAAAAATTGTTGAGTTTTCACCAACAAACTTGATTGTTTACAAAGTAAACAATTTTGATAAGCCTTTTGCGATTTAAATTTGAAAAAAATCTGGTACACTAAGTTATACGATTGCATGTAAACATAAGAATTTGAATTCCCCAGATGAAAGACACAGTGTCTTCAGTACAGAGAATTCAAATTGTTATGTTGACATGAATTGAAAGCATTCAGTATACCAGATTTTATTCAAATTTAACTTGAAAAAGGCTTATTGACTTCTACATGTATAAATATTATTTTGTAGTTCTGAGTCATTTATGATCCCCTCTTTCATGGAGTAGCACTGGTTACATGTTAGTCAAAGGAATGCTTAATACTGGGAAAATAAACATTTGAAAAAGAGACCAACCTCAAATGGGATTTTCTCAAAACCTAGGTTTTACTCTCTGGCAAAAATTTTGTCTCTTGTTAAAACTGTGAGGACATATAGGCCCTAAGCACCTCACACATCATAAAATATACAGCATACATGTTCCCCACGGCCAACACTAACCAGCTCACTCCTGATTGTTAAATGCAAGATTTACATATCATTTTGGATCTTTTGGTTTAGAACCAGATGATAAAAAATGTAGATCCCCAGAGCATGGTAATCTTGAGGAATGAAATACATACATGTACTCCTTGGGATCAGGTGAAACCATTGCCACATAGGCACAGAACTCAACATCCCAGCAACAGCTGTTTCATTTTTATAAATACATGTACATGTACATTGGCAGTGCATGTACACATGGTTTCTTATGACCATCCAGTTTCCCAATGCAAAGTCACTCAAAGAACAACCATTGAGATCTACATGTACATTTATATGTCATTGCCGTCTGGCTCCCAGACTAAAAGATCCTGCATTTATTGTGCACTCAACAGGCCTGTCCAGTTTTTGTACTCATAGATGTAGGGTCAAGGATACAGAAGTAGTCCAGCTGGCCCTAGTATGAGGCTTTGAAACAGCACATGTAAAAGACTTGTGATAATAATCTGTGAGGCTTACAAGGACATGGGTAATGTCTGCGTGAACCAGTTTACCATGTTTACAACATCCAGAAATTGACCCATTGTCATAAATGTTGAAAAGTATAAAACAATTAATATGACATCAGTGCCAGTGAACAAAGTTTTGTTCATTCAAAGGCCACGTGGCCCGACTTCTGTTGCTGTTGTTATTTTTAGCCACCAAATACATGTACATGTAGTTAGCTGCGTTATACAACTTTACTTCACTTGGGAAAACAATCTTCCACAATGGTACATGTACATGTAAATTAGAATGGAAAGGCACATCACTGAAAAACAGAAAACTGTTGGCAAGAATGTAACAGTAAAAAAGTACCAGAAATACACCACTAGGAACTCACTACTTGGGGACAGCTCCTTTCTGGTATTTTTGCATGTCTTGGATTTGTTTGATCTTAAGTGATTCCTCGGCTAGTGCGGATGGTGGTCGGGGAGGTTTGTGATGCTTAACCAGGCGAGCATTGTGAGCAATAAAGTTGGCATCAGTCTCTACTTTTACCTGCCAAGAAAAGAAAAGTTGTATGCGTTGTGAAATAATAACAGTAAGGCATTTCCCCTAGGCAAGTGCAACTACACGTTATTCTACTCATGGTATGGATACAGGCCATGTCTGGACAGGGTTACCAACTATGGGTACAACGCTTTGTCGCAGAATGTCAAAGATAGCATCCAAGCCACGACCAAGGACCAACTGCTGTAAATGTGGGATCATCCATACACAAAAAATAAAAACAAATGTCAAAACGTTACACTGTAATCCTTGAAAACGCTGCCATTTGTCACTCTGAGTCACTGTGTGCAAGATGTGTGCAAGACACTATGGACCACGGTTTGTTTCCACTGTAATCCTTGAAAACGCTGCCATTTGTCACTCTGAGTCACTGTGTGCAAGATGTGTGCAAGACACTATGGACCACGGTTTGTTTCCCTTTTGGG